GTGCCTAGAAGAAAGCAGCGCTAAGAACAATGTAGTTCCAGAGGGAAATAAGGACTTAAGCAGAAATTGGGATATTTTGGTAAAGAGTCTGGCTGGAGTCTGTCCACAGCCAAAAAGCTTGCCTGAGGCTAAGTTGAAAAGTAATGGACTAATTTCTCTGGTGGAAGAAATGCCAAGGCAGCCTAACATAGAAATGGTGGTGTGAATATTAATGGTGAATATTATGCAGATGTACAGTGAAAAAGAGCAAATGAAATACAGCTTGGATTGAAAAAGAGCACTAGGAAGATAAATGTTGAAGCCTTCGCCTGTGCTGGAGAGAATCCCATTGATGAGATTAAAGTGATTAAGGAAATTAAAGTGATTAAGGAGGGGCCTAGACTTTCAAACTTAAACAAAGGAGAGAGTGTCTCCAGGGCAAGACCACACCCAGTTAAGCCTCCAACTTGTGAAAGAAAAATCCTGAAGGACCCACTGAAGAGAAAAGCTTCTAAAATGGATAAAGCAGGCTGGGTCCATCCCAAACTTGCAGTTAAACTTGGCAGTGTGGTTCATCTGGTGCTGGCTTTAGAGGCATGAAAGGTCCAAGAGTGAAGGGGTTATCAGTTCTTCCTCTGCATGGTTTCAGAGAGCCTCCGGCAGCACGCAGCAGGGATTCCCCTGCCTAGACAAGGCCCTGATAGGCCACTGCGTGAAGCTGTGAGGCATCTGCCAAGAAGACCTGCACACAGGGAGTGGTACCAGCACAAGAGAGAGATGTGTGCTGCACGCGCAAAGCTAGAGCCAGCTAAGCCCTTTGGAGGTAAAGTCCCAGAAGTTGCACATGGAGCTACTGGATTTGGCGTTTGCCCTGCTGGTTTTCGGTCTTGTTTTGGTCCAGTACTTCCTCACTATGCCTCCATTCCTCCCTTTTGGAATGGTAATGTGTATTCGGTTCCACTGTATGTTGGGAGTATACAATTTGTCTTTTGATTTTACAGAGGCTTACAGGTAAGACATTTATTTTTACCTGAGTCTCAGAAAAGACTTTGGACTGTGGACTTTTGAATAGTATGGAGACTGATAATGACTATGGGGACTTTTAAAGTTGGACTAAATGCATTTTGCATTTTACATAGTCATGAGCCTGTGGGAGCCAGGGGGTGGAATATGGTGGTTTAAATGAAAATGTTCCCCATAGGTTCCAAGTATTTGGACATTTTGTCCCCAGATGACGGCACTGTTTTGGAAGATCTTAGGAGGTGTGGCTACCCTACAGAAAGCATGTCATTGGGGGCGGGCTTAGTGAGTTCTTAAGGCTTGCCGGATTTCCAGAGTCAGAACCAGACCTGCAACAGGCAAGGAATGTGCTCCCTGGACGCAGGGAACCCAGCAAAGGCTGATAGCCCTTCCTTGAGGAATGATTATCTGAGATCTGAAGGCAGAGAAGTCTGGTCTTATATACAAACTCTGCTGCACACAGCTGCAAGAGTTAACTCCGTGCCAGGGTCTGGTATCCTTGAGGGCCTCTTTTCCCAAAATTATTTGCTCAGTCCTTGAGGGCCTCTTTTCCCAAAATTATTTGCTCAGGTAGGCGGGTGAGCTATCTACAGCACTAAAGGAGACAGGTGGGCTCTACAAACAATGTCTCTCGGTCCAGGGAGTGACCAATTAATAAGGCTTGAGCAAGGCCAGGCTTGAGAAAGGCCAGGCTGCCAATTTAGGGCCAGTTAGACTCTTTAAGGGATTTATGGCTTTCCCTAATGAGGCTTATGGCTCTTCTGCAATTCACACATTCTATCGCCCCACCTCAGCCCTGAGTAACCTTGCCCCTCTAAGCCTGATGGACTGCAGGAAAGTCACTGGGCCTCTGAAGAACCACTTGTCAGCACCTGTGCTGCTCCATCTGGGCCTAAACCACCACTGCCACTCAACAGACCAGAACCCTGTCTGAAGTCTCCCATCCCCCCACTGGCGTGACTCTGTTGCATGGGATCTAAACCATGCCCCTGCTCTGCATAAAGCCAAGTCATGGCTCCCCAGTTCCAACCAGAGCTCATCGGGTCCAACAGGGCTGTTCCCACCTGAATCAATCTGTCCACAGCTCCTGCTTCTCTCCCCCTGGCTTACTCTGCTCCAGCCAAGGCTAGCTTCTGCTGCTTCCCACACCCAGGGCCACAGCCACTCCAGGGCTGTGTTCCCAACTGTGCTGCCAGGAAGGGTCTGGCTCTGGATCTCTGAATAGCCTGGAACTCACAGTTCTCCCATTTCAGCCGTTGGGATGCTGAGATTACAGACCTGCTCATCTCAAAATTTTTAATACAAATTTATTTTAAGAGGAACACCATGAACATTCTAGACACCAGGCATAAATGAGTTTCATCCACTCCTGACCAGAGCACCTAGAAGAGCCCACTCACTGGAGGGAGACATGGGAACAGAGAATGGGACACACTCACGTGTAGATACCCAGGTAGGCAACTGGGCAAGGACAAGCAGACAGGTGAGATGGTGGAGCAGAGAGCACCTGCAGCAATCCTCCAAGTACTCGGGGCTGGAGAGAGAAACAGAGGAGGCAGGCCAAGACCCTCAGCAGCAAGTAGGAGGCAGGTCCCACCCAGGGCTCTGACAACTCATCAGGGAGAGCAGAGCTGAGGGCTGGCGTCAGTCTCTGAAGGAGCAAAACACTACCACAGGAACAGGGTGATGGTTACCCACAATCCCAACACTGTCAAACAGCCAGACCTAGGCTCTTTCCAACCCTGCGGAAGACTTGGCTGTTGGGACCCCTGAGAGGAAACCATTCCTTCCTTTCTTCCCCCTTTTCCAGCCACAATGCAGCTCAGCTCTACAAAGAAAACCAGGCTGTCCCTTTCTTAGCACCTAGGGGAGAGCTCAGTGTACAAACCATCATCCATCTCTCCATTATCTACATCCTGCCTGTGACCTGCCCCTGAGACAGAGGGCTCACATTTGGCTTCTCTCTAAGGCACTTGCTGCTCTGCCATCCCACAATTGTGACCAGGCATCATCCGGGCAGCTTCAAAGACAGACATGTCCACAAGGAGGCTGTGGTACCTATCACAAGTGCCTTGCCCTGATTTGGGAGTATGGTGTTTGGCTACCCTTCAATCCCAGCCCAGTCCCTGCCATGGTTCCTGGCCATGGATCCACGCTCAGCGGTGCCACACACGTCCCCCAGGACAGGTTCACCCTTACTGTCTCTGTCGTCCATAAAGATTTCTGTCTGAGAGGTAGGGGACCCTACTGGATGCAGACAGACTTGTGGAGAATATAAATAAACTCTCATCTGTCCCAAACCACCCGTTCTTTGGAAGGAACGGGGAGAAGGCACCTGAGGGCCTAGGAAGGACAAACACTGTGGGTGACCGCTGGGCTCCCCTCCAAGCTGAGCCCCAAGGGATGTGACCTTCTGGACCTCAGTTTCCTTATCTGCATAATGGGCAGGCTCTCCTCCCTGCTTTACCCCTGAAGGCCCACAGGTGTCTTCAAAGCCAACTTACCTGTTTCTCTTTGCTCCCATCTTGAAAAACTGTGACCTCATGGGAAAAGTTCAGGGCCCTGGAGAACCCAGCAGACCCAAAATCTTCCCTCAGAGTTCAACCCTCTCCAAGCTGTTCTCAGAGCTCCAAGCCCTGCTCGCCACCCCAGTGCTGGGGTTCAGGATTCAGCATCTCCAGGAGGCAGAGGCTGCTGGTTCCCAGGACAACAGGAAAAGAAAGGGAGCCCGGCACAAGTGGTCACAGCCTCTGCAAAGACTCGGACGCGGAGGGGCCAAGCTGAGCCCTCTCGGCTGGAACAGCAACTTTTCTTGAGGCTTCCACCATCTAAAGTGAAAGCTAAGGAATAAAGTGGGTGGGGTGTGTGTTCCCTGCCCTCCGACATCACTCCCTCCATGAGGAAGAAAGCAGCCCGAGCAGAGTCCAGACAAGGTGGTTCCACGGTTTGCCTGAAATGTTGCAGAGTACCCCTTTAAGATGAAAGTCCACCCCACCCCATGCCACCACCAACCCCTGCACAATAGACTTCTCAAGGCCTACGAATCTTATGGAAATGTTAGGAGAAGACAGAAAGAAGAAAATAAAGTTGAATTGAATCCTGATTAAGTATCAGGAACTGAGCTGCACACAGAGTTATCAGTTCGTGATCTCACCTGAAACAGAAATAAGTCACGAGCCCTGATCTAGCTACATTAATCCAAAAACTTCTAAGATGAGGGAAAGGCAGGTCTGCCAGGAACTACACACACACACAAACACACACACACACACACACACACACACACACAATCTCCAGCCCTCCAGCCCATCCCAGGTTCAGTTGTAGGCATCACAGAGTCAACAAAGGACCTTGGACTCCTGGTACCTTGGTATTATATGGCCACAAACATATCTCACCCTGAATCCCAGCCAGTGTCTCCCACATGGGGAGGAGGGGTGGGAGGCAGTGGCAAAGAGCAGGTCAGGTTCCCTCTGAGAACCCCAGAGGACACTGAGGAACCCTGGCTAGGACATCAGATGTCCACTCTGTCCTTGCTCAGCACATCAGGGTCACAGCCAACTGCTCTGACAGTAAGCTCAGGCCAAGAAGCCACAAATGATTTTTCTTATAGACAACATATATGATCCTAAAGCCAGATGCAGTAGTGCATACGTGTAATCCCAGCACTCAGAAGGTAGAGGGAGGACAATCAGCAGTTCAAGGTCATCCTCAGCTACATAGTGAGTTCAAGGGCAGTCTGAGGTCTGTAAGACCCTATCTCAAAATAAACAAGTTAGGGACACCTAGATGATTCACCAAACCTGACAACCTGAGTTCGAGCCCCGAAACCCACATAAAGGTGAAAGGAGAGAACTGACTCCACGAAGTTGTCCTCTGACCTCCACATGTGTGCCATGGCATGGACACACCCACTGTCATATGCCCACACACATATGCACAATAATAATACTTTTTAAATCGGGTCCAGTAAAGGCTTCTCTCAAGTGTCCTTTCTTGACTTCTTTTGATCTTTTTATCATTTGTAGTGTTAGCCAGGCGGTAACTGGCAGCTCAGGGCGGCCATGGCACAGATGGTGCCAGCGCTGGCAGAGCCGGAGCCACCAGCAGCAGCAGGAAGAAGACCAGGAGCGCCAGAAAGTGGCGGGGTAGAATCCACAGGAAGCAGAGACAGCAAAGGACAGCCAAGCAGAGAGCAGGCGAGAGGAAGGCAGAGGCCTTGAGAAGCCGGGGTCGAGAAATTGTAGCCCCAGTCACCAGAAAAGCTCTGGGGGCTGACAGGCTTGAAGAGTCAAGGGCACTGGGGCTGAAGAGATGGCCCAGTGGTTAAGAGCACTTCGTCTTCTTCCAGAGGACCTGAGTTCAGTTCCAGTGCCTATGTCAGATGTCTCACAGCTGCCTGTAACTCGAGCCCCAGGGAATCCAATACCCTCTTTTGGTTTCTTCAGGCACTTGCATTCACACATGTGTACACAGACACACATATACACATTATAATTAAACATTAAACAAATCTTTTTAAGGGACTAGGGAGATGGTTCTGTATTAAGAGCATTGGATGCTCTTGCAGAGGATCTAGGCTTGGTTCCCAGCACCCATCTGGCAGCTCTCACAACCACTATAACTCCAGATCCAGGAAAGCAGACGGCCTCCTCTAGCCTCCATAGGCTCCTACACACATGTGCACATACTCACACAGGCACACACACACACATATACATAAAAATAATAAGGGACCGGAGAGATGTCTCAGCAGTTAAGAGCACTGGCTGCTCTTGCAGAGGACCTGAGTTCAGGTCCCAGCACCTGCATAGCAGTTAACAACCATCCATAACTCCAGTTCCAGGGAATTTACTGTCCTCTTTCTACAGGTATTGTACACATAGGTGTACATACATACATTGCAGGCAAAACATCCATACACATAAAGTAAAATTAATAATTTTTCAAAAAATCTTTTCCTAAGAGTCAAGGGTCCCAGTACTCTAGGCCTGAGAATTACAAGCAATACTAGCTGTATTAGTGATACTAGGAGTATCACTAATTGCTGTCGGAACCGAGCTCAAAAAATCTTTTCTTAAGAGTCAAGGGTCCCAGTACTCTAGGCCTGAGAATTACAAGCAACACTAGCTGTATTAGTGATACTAGGAGTATCACTAATTGCTGTCGGAACCGAGGATCCCAATACCTGACACCTGTTTGGAGCTGTAACACACAGTGGTGCCTATTGCTGCTGCCACTCGGGGCTGCCAGAAGCTGAGAGAGCTGTCAAGTGCTGGGTGGCTGCTGGTTAAAGTCCACAGCAAATGCCAGGTGTGGTGTACATGCCTGTAATCTTGGCATTCCAGAGGTGGAGATAGGAGAATCAAGAGTTCAAAATCGTCTTCTGCTACACAGCAAGTTCGAGGCCCTGTTCAGCCCAGAGAGGAAGATTCTAACTGCCCCGGGTACGCCGTACACTCTGGGCCTCTCCTGTCACAGAGCCTCTTCCCCTGGCTCCAATTGCCAACAAATCCTCAGGCCCGCGGCTCGCTGCTGTTTTATTCTGGACACCTTATCCTTCCTTCATCCTGGTGGTTTTGGGTATCACACTAGAAGGTGGTTCTTAGATCTTCATCTTACAGCTGTGACATGGAGGCTCATCGATGTGTTGAAACCTACCCAGGGTCAAAGGATCACAGAGACAAACCCAGACAGGAGCCAGGTCTGCCCCTAACCCGGCTGAGCTCTGCAAGCGACCACCAGGCTGAGGCAGCATCACTAGGAAAGCTCCAGGGATCTGAGGGCCCAGAAGGGAAGATGAGGTTACAGCAGAACTTCTACTATAAGAGCTTCTTCTCTTTTTGGTCTTTTTTGAGACAGGATCTCCCTATAGCCCCAGGTGGCCTGGAACTCTCTATGTAGACCAGGCTGGCCCCCATCACAGAGCCACCTGCCTCTGCCTCTCAAGTGATGGGATTAAAGGTGTTTGCCACCACACCCTGCTATTATAAGAACTTTAACACCCGTCTTTTAATATTTGTGTGTTTCTTTTTATAGTCTCTAATATTATGCATATTTGTTAGCTGTGTGCTCTAAATATTTTGCTCATAGGAAGGCACATACAAGCCAGGAGTGGTGGCGCTCGTCTTTTATCCCAGTACTCGGGAGGCAGAGGCATGTGGATCTCTGTGAGTCCAAGGCCAGCCTAGTCAAAAAGGCATGTTCAAAAAGGTTGCGAAATCCTCCTTAGAACCACATGTCTCAGAGGGGAAGCAGCGCCTGGGACGATGACCCAGGATGTATAAAACCCCAGGCCAGGGGCTGGAGGGATGGCTCAGCCTGTAAGAGCACTTGCTGCTCTTCCAGAGGACCAGACTTCGGTTCCCAGCACCCACATCAGGTGGCTCACAGCGGCCTGTAACCCCAGCTCCAGGGGATCCAACACTCTCTTCTGGTATCTGTGAGTAGACACACACACGCACGCACACACACACGCACACACACGCACACGCATGCACACAAAATAAAAATACTTTTTTTTTTAAAGAACACACTGACAGTCCCACTGGGTTGCCTCGGCCTCTGCTGCCCCCTTGTGGCCTGAGTGTGGCAGACGGAAAGAACAGTTCCCAGCAGGAAGTTTGAAAGGGGTTTACGGAGACGCAAGCTTGGAAATCTGGAAAGAGATGAAGAAAATCCAACGAGGATGCCATCTGCGGTGTGAGTCTGAGTGAAGGACGTTAAGGACTAGGGTGAAGGACGCCAGATGAGGCGTTTCCTGTTGCTGAGGGGACAGTTAGGACAGATCAGGACAGCAGGCCAGAAAGGGGCTCCTTATCTTGGCCGGTGGCTACCCAGGTGTCTCCAATGGGCGCTGAAGATCAGCACGCTCATTCCGTGTGCCAGACGTGAAAGCTCCTGTACAATCCAGCATGAGGGAGGCCGAGGCAGAAAAATCAAAGGGTCAAGGCCGGCACCAGAAAGGGGCTCCTTATCTTGGCCGGTGGCTACCCAGGTGTGTCTCCAATGGACGCTGAAGATCAGCACGCTCATTCAGTGTGCCAGACGTGGAAGCTCTGTGCAATCCAGCATGAGGGAGGCCGAGGCAGAAAAATCAAAGGGTCAAGGCCGGCCTCGCTTCCACGGGAAGACTCAGATCCACAAAGAGAAAGCTGAGCCTTGAAACCAGCAAAAGACTGTTCTACACGCCTAACTGTGTGTTGAGGGCTTGACGTGAAGGCCCGGGAGCTCACCCTCAGGTGCCACCTTCTGCTTTAAAACCAACCTTCCTGACTGCCAACCCCAGCAGCCAGAAGCAGGGAGCACTCCTCATGAACAGGCCTGTCCCCAGGCTTCCCTCATTCCTGTCAGCTGCCTTCTCACCTTTGACCAGAGTAAGTTCAAAGGGAACAATTTATGCTTTACTTCTCCAAATTGTCATTCTAAGAATACTCTTGAGGGCTGGAGAGATGGCTCAGTGGTTAAGAGCACTGACTGCTCTTGCAGACAACTCCGGTTCCATTCCCAGGACCCACATGGTCA